AATACAGCTTTTGCAAAAGTGGAAGTTGCTTTGATCAAGGTCAGATGACAGAACAAGCCAACAAAGCCCTGATTCAGAAACTGTGATTTCTTTAATAGGATTATTATTCATTCTCCCTTCTAAGGGAAAAAGTCCAATTTAAACACATTACTAAAATTTGATTGGCATAGATGTATAGAACAAAATAAGTTATTAAAAGATTCCACTAATAGCATCTGTTGGAGAACTGCTCTGCTGGAACTATCAAACTTCTGTTGCTGGTATAAAGCTTCACAGATAACTCTGACTGGCATGCAGCTTGTGTCTCAAACGCCTTTCAACATGGTAACCATGGAAATAGCAGCAGGCCTGCACAATGCTGCCCAACAAACACCTGGAAGAGTACTGTAAGTGAAAATAACTGCTCTGAATGGGGAATGCCCCGGTCTTTTAGCAGAATTCATGGATTTGCCAAGACTTTCTGAAAAAGATGTAGACTCACAAACATATCCATTGACCTCACTGCCTCCAATCTGAATTGCATTCACATTGTTTTTAAACATTTTGTTAATCTAGCAGAAGTTGGAGTTCTATGTGAATTATTTTAGGAATATGAAAGTAGAGGTCTATATGGTGAAAATATAATATAATCCCCTCTCACCCCTATGGGTGGTATGTGTCTTCCTCAATCTCGGGTCCTCTACCAGAACCTATGAAACAAAAAGGGGCAGATGGAGCACTATGGAAGACAAAACAACACCTTGCAGTTCCCTGAGCCACAGGTGGTAGGGGAAAATCAGGAAGAGTTTAGTGACACCTTTTCTAACATATTTTAATAAAAAGCATAAGCTTTTGTGAGCTGTGGCTGACTTCAGATGTGCAGAGTAGTTAAACTAATGGATTGGAAAACAAAATGAAACATTGGGAGGGGGAGAGATGCAGCTTATATGAGAGACAGATCACAAGTATCTCATCAATTAGCAATTATAATGTGTTAAAAACCCACTGGGTTTGTTAATGATTTCTGAAATAGCCTGAAAGTTTTGATGTATGTGAGTTTCCTTCTATAATGCTATTCTAAAACAGCTTATTAACAATGAAATCTGCAATTGAGTGTCCTGGAGGTTAAAATACTCTGATATTACTTTGTCCTTGTTTTGAGCCCTGATATCAAACTTGACAATTACAGACAAACACAAGCTCTCTAGCTGATAACACATTTATTTTCCTCTCACTAAAGATGTGAAGGGAAATTTTCAAACACAGGAATAGAACAGAAAAGAAGAAAGCTTCACTTAGCATCAACCTGATAGCAACCTGGATGAGAAGACCTGTTGGCCTTCAGATCCTACTTGACAAGTTGCATATTGGGTGTCCTCAGCTTTTGGGGCTGAAATACTGTTGATATAGTCTTTATATCCAATTTGTATCTGATTAAGAGATTGAAAGAGATTCCTTTTGTCTACTCTTGGTCAATCCAAGGTCTCTGCGCGTGTGTTATCCATGGCAGGAGACAGACTAGAGACAAATAGTGTTAGTATTTCCAAAGCTGATAGAAGAAACAAATATCCTTGAAGACACTGTGTATCTAATAACAGTTAATACAGACTCTGAATTCAATCTATCACTATCACCTTGAGACTGATATCAAACTGCAGAATCCACTGCTTAAACAACTGGCCTAATTTTGGATTTGTTTCCTCATTCTCATAGTATCATACTGTAAGAAAGCACCAAACAAACAAACAAAGGCATCCTAATTCAGTCTTAACTATGATGTTATTAAGAATTCAACTGAGTCATGAAAAAAAAATAACCAAGTTTTGCATGTCATGCAAATGTTCTAATGTCTGATGCCTTTAGACTTCAAGAAGTTGGAATCAGAGTGGGAAACTCCCTTGAAACAACATGTATTTAAAAGTAGCTGATGTCTCTGTATCTAGTTATTAGGGCCACTAATTTGACTAACTTTTTCTATTCAACTTTTAGAAAGTTGAAACTTAACCTAATCAGTAATATAAGTCATTAATAGACATTCTGCCTCCTAGAAACCAGCACATCTCTCTTGATGCCACTGAAAATTTAGTAGCAGTATTTGCTGTTAAAATGAGATACAACAGTTTTTGGTTTTTTCCCCACCGTTCTTATATGTTTAATGCTTTGGCATTATTTCAGAAGGAGGATGATTTATGGAGTTCCACCTACTCTTCTAAGTAAGCCTACGCACATTTTGGGTATAATTGTTGACTCACCACCAGGTTCAAGTGTGGCTGTTGGAGGAAAAGAAGTTGTGTATTCCTTTTTGCTGTTGGAACAGTAGTTCAGTCAGTGGGAGAAAACTCATTAAAGCAGGGACTGCAACTGATGGATAAAACTTTAAACCATATCCCACAGCAGCATCTCTTTTGCAGCTCTGAGACCATTCAGAACAAGAGCAAGTACATGTTCAATCCACTGTTCTTAGCATTTGGTGGGGAGAGTTTAAGAAGCAAAATTTGTGCCTTAGGTCTTGCAGAGATGTGAAGTAGGATTTTCACCCCTTAAAAAATCTGACCATTTCAACATCAGGCAGATTTTTTCTGACTGAATGGGGTTTAAGAGGCAAAATGGATACTTCAATACTTTGCAACCCCCTCCCTGCCAAACTTCAGCAACAGACTGACAACGCTGTACTACCAATTCTATGGGCCAAAACAGTAGCACCTCCCTATCCCCAAACCATAGTAACTGTAGCAACCCATAACATGAGTACTTAAGCTTTGGCGCAGAGTGTTGTGTGAATTATCCATTTGTGGCATATCCAACAAACCACAATATAGCCAAACATAGCTTAACACAAAAACTAAACCATTCTTTAAGCATTTTCAGACAGTCATGAGTACAAGCATTTCTTTTGCTACAGCTCTCACCATTAAGGCAGTCTGCTTCACAATCTAAATTCCATCCATTATGTTTTAACAACATCGATATAACCCTGTCACTCTAGCCAAGTGCCTTTTAGAACCCAGTGCTTTTGTTTAAGCCTCAGTTACTTTCACTAAGAGAATAAAGGACAGATTAGATAAAAATGCAGAGAGAATGTTCCATGCTCTGAGAATTTGTTCTTTCAGAAAAGAGAACAAAATACAGGCCCGTTTGCATGCACAATTCTTGCAAAAGGTTAATGTCTCTGTATCTCGTTTCATTCCCTCTAGCGCTGTTAACATTCTGCAATGTCTCCCTGAGTTAGGAACAAGTTGGAACTTCTCACAGGTAATGTTCTTTTGTATGCCATCCAGCTTAATAACAAGCTCAGATGAAATAACACCCTGATTTTACACTCTGGAATGTTAGGGTGAAAATATTATGACAAATGAATATCACAACTGCTGTTCTGAGGAGGCTGCAAAAGGTCTTAGCTCATCCAAATATTCAACAAAGTTCATATTTCCACCCCTCACATTCACCTAGCCTAAACAAGAAGGTGTACTTGCTAATAAAAGGCACCACCAAAGTTTCCAAAATCATGTAACCAACTCTGGTGAGGAAAGGATGCTCTATTCCATAGCTTCTAGCATGGATTTAATGTGTAAACTGTAAATGTTAATTTGACTAAACAGAATGATGTCGGCTACCTGGAAATAAGAACTGATTCAGTCTAGCCCTGAAGTCTCCAGATAACATCTCACCTCAGTCATGAACTGTACTCCTCTATTTGGGTATAACCGCGATTAAATTCAGCAGGGTTGCAATCCTATTCATATTTATTTGGAAGTTAGTACCACTGATTTTAAGCAAGATTACTTATCAGAATGACACTATGTCTGGGTTCACCGAACATAATAAGCCATAATGTGGTTTATTAAGTTGTATGAACTCTGCATTGCATTTTGTAAAGAATGGCTAATTCCATAGCATGCAAGGCATTTGTGTTTCATATAATAAACCACTATTAAGGAAATCAAAACTAAGCACGATATGTCAAATAGCCCATATGGATCAGTGATATCAGGAGAATAATACTAACTTATTTTACGATAGGGGTATAAGAATTACTGAAATAAAAAATGCTAATTATAGTTTACAGAGACCCAGTTTGGAGTAGTGGCACCAGGCTAGAAACTGGGAGACCGTGAGTTCTAGTCCCACCTTAGGCACGAAGCCAACTGGGTGACCTTGGGCCAGTCCTTCTCTCTCAGCTCTAGGAAGGAGGCAATGACAAGCCACTTCTGCAATCTTGCCAAGAAAACCTCAGGGGCTTGTCCAGGCAGCCCTCAGGAGTCAAAAACTGACTCAGAGGCACACAAACACACACACACCAAAAACGTTTATAGCTATGTAAGGTGATCTGAAAAAGGGAATTAGTTCTATGTTATTATTATTTACATATACTTCTTGTCACGCTTCTGGGAACCTGCAGGGCTTCACCTCAAGTTATCTTCACAACAACCCTGTGGAGTAAACTACAGGGTGTGATCAGCACGAGTTCACCTACCAAGTTACACTTGTTTTCCCCAGCTTCAGTCCCGTACTGGAATCCTACACAGAACTTAAACCATTAGGTAACAGCGGCTCTCTTTCAGGGTGGCTACTCATCCCGTTTCTTTTATGGGATTATCTTCAACACTGAAGAGAACTTTTCTCCAACCGGAATCTTTGGGAATGGAAGCCGGAGTAATAGGCAGAAATAAGAGAGTCACCCAGCCCGGACTGCCAAAAGCGCAGCCCCACGGATTTCAGCGTGGGACCTGGAACACAGCTCTGCGTGCTGTCCTCAGAAAGTACCCCGGCGTTCAACTACGTTGAACTCCCGGGTAGGGAAACAGGATCGCTGAACGGCACCTGTCCCAGCCGGCTCGAAGGGGAGAGGAGCGTATCGACAGTTAAAAGCTTCCCCGGGTGGCTTTTCAGAAGAAGAGCGCCCCGCGAGTCTGTGGGCGACTGGGTGGAAGGAGGCTCTGGAGTCGCCCAGGGGCGGCCAAAGCCGAAAACGCGCCGAGGTCGCTGCCCCCCTGCCCGAAAGGAAGGACGCCGCAACTTACTTAAGGCGAGGAGGTTCACCAGAACTAAGCAGCCCGCACGTCGCCTTAGCTCGCCCATTGTTCCAAGAAAGAGCCGGGACGCCAGCAGCGATCACACGCAGCGACTGCGGGGCAGTGCAAGAGCGCTAAATACAGAGGCGCGCGGAGCAGCTCCGCCCACCTGGCGCGCTCTCCAGTCCCCCCCCTCCCGCCGGAGATTCCTCGGAGCCGGCGATCGTCTCCGGCCCCCCAGAGAGGAAGCCTTGCCCGGCTTACGCCCCTCCTCTATTCCCTCGCGCGCCAGAAACAAAACTCTTCCGCCCCAGTGTTTAAAACGCGCAGCAAAATGGGCTTTCTGGCCCTTGTAGTCCTTTCCTTGTAGTCGGTAAGAGAAGTAAAACGAAGGCAAGGAGGAACCCAGCCTCGACATGATTACGGGAAAGGACTTCCCCCGTCAGCGATGCTCTGCGCTTACCTGTCTCTTCTGACCCTTTCTGGCTCCATCGGGGTTCATTTAAGACGAGAAGGGAAAGATCTATAATTGCGCGAAAGACCCGCTCTGAAAGGGAGAGAAGGGTTTTGTGGTTTTTGTTGGTGTGGGTGCACGATGCAGTCTTATTCTCTGGGCATTGGCACCTAAGCCAAGCTGTACATTGGGGCATACAGTATTTGGAAGCGAAGTACTTTAGTGTTTTAATTAGTAGGAGTAACCACTCATCAAGACAGAATGAATACAACCTGAGCATGTAGGAAGGCACTGACTTGATCTTTTCTGGATTTAAAAGCAAAACACCCTTAGTACTTGGATGGAAGACCACCAGGGAATCCTTCCTAGACTGGGAAGTCAAAAACATCCTGGAAGAAGACAGTGGCAAACCATTTCTGAGCTGTGGTCAAAAAGATCGTGTGGATGTCTCCCACTGGGAACAGAGCTCAAGTGAAAAGAGATGTTTCCTTTACCTTTTAGTGATACCATGAAGAGAAGATGTAATAATGCACATACTGTATACACAAATTGCTGTAAACAAACTATTGCATGAGTGAATGGGAGCTTTGAGTGTGTCAGAAAGTTGCAGCTTGATTTTGTCCTCAGCCTGGAAATTCTTGTGTGCTGTTTTTTTTTCCTCATCCTCAGTCTTTCCTTCTGCAGTATGGGCTTACATTCCGCAGTTATACTGTCCTACCTTTCAGGAATGTTGTAAGAATATCCAATAATACACAAAGGTCTGGAGGATTTTATTATTCAATACACGCACATAAGAAAAAAAATCCTGTGTTTTGGATTTTTTTTCTTTCTCATTGCACCTGTGTAACAATCTACATACATTTAAAAATTCTCTTTTGTATGATTTTAAAATACAGGTAGTCCTTATTTAGTGACCACAGTTGGGACCAGCAACTTGGTTGTTAAGCAAAACAGTTGCTAACTGAAACCATGACTGTGCTTATGATCTTACTTCAGCTTTCCTTTGCTTTACAGACCTGCAAAGGTTGTAAATGTGAGGACTGGTCACAAAGTTACTTTTTCATGACCATTGTAACTGTGAATGGTCGCTAAATGAGGCAGTCGCTAAATGAGGACTACCTGTACAGAGACTCTGTTTTCCATAACTGTCTTCTACTGCATTGGTTCTGTAGCTAACCCCCAGCCTTCTACCTGGATCATTATAATGTTGGGAACTTTAACATGTAATTTATAGGTATCAGTGACAAGCACTCTTTCTGCTCTGGGAAAAACCAAACTCTACAAGTTTTTCCTCCAGTCCTCAGTAAACCAACCCTCCCAACTGGGCATTCTCCAGATGTGTGAATTTCAATTTCCAGGATTCTTAATGATGGTTCTCATGGCTGGAGAATTCTGGTAGTTGCTCTTCATATCTAGAGAGCACACTGAATAGGGCAGAATGTAAACACTGCAGAATTACTTTCCAAATGTGCCTATACCTTCTTGCAAGCAACCTATATATTATAATTTATATAGGTTATATACAGTGGGTCAAAAAAGTATTTAGTCAGCCACCAATTGTGCAAGTTCTCCCACTT